TTGAAAAAATCTGTGTCACTAAGTAATTACCGACGGTTTTTGGTAGAACCGTCGGAAATAGCGGGGGTTTCAAAAACCGCCGGAATACCAGGGGTTTTGTGAAAACCGCCGGTATTAGCGGGGGTTTTGAAAAAACCATAGGTATTAACGGAGTTTTGTGAGAATCGCAGGTATTAGCGGGGATTACTGAAAAACCGCTGAACTAGCTGGGGTTCTCCCAAAACCGCCCATAATTTGCATGGTTTAGTTAATCGGGTTTTAAAACTGCCAGAAATGTATCCAGTTAATTTTTATTTTTGTTTTTTTATAGTAATAAAATTGGACTATAATAAAAATGGTTTTATTGAGAAAACAAACAATAAATTAATATGAACTAAAGTTGAATAATATTGTATAAAATAAACAACATTGTTCAAGCTAAAATATCATTCATACAGCTAATTGTTCATACATAAAAATTAAAAAGAAAGATCTTCATTACATATGTTCTATATAGATGTTCAATACATATATTCAATACAAATGTTCAATACTAAAAATATGAATCATATAAAGATATTCAATAACAATATCTAATTTTCATCTTCATTACATCCATTGTTTGGCACACTTCCTTGATCAGATACCTACAACATAAAAATGAAATCACAAAAAATTAAAAATAAAACTCGTGAAAACTTTAAAATTGAGGGGTAACAATTTTTCTTATTTTTTCAGTTGAATTGTACAATTCTAGAGTTGTCAAATTAAAAGAGAGAGTATGTATCAGATAGTATATGGTAAATTAAAGCACAAATAAATCTCAATCAGTAAAACTTAGCAAAAATTGTCCAGAATAATGAGCTGAATAAAGAATCATACAGTTAATCAGTCCAATATTAAGGCAAGTAACCCATAACAAGACCACTTAAACACGACACAAAAACACATAATGAAAAGAACATCAAGGTAAGCCCTTACATTTACCCACATAATGTTAGGCATTGCAATAAAACTTGTCAAAATGTGAAAGTGTGAATCGTCTTTATTATTTTGCGCGAGCGAGTGGTTCTACAAAAAGAGGAAGAAGAAACATGAAACCAAACCCTAGCTCGTTCTCTCTACATGTTCAGATTCACTTTTTGCTTTGCTTACAGCTTTCATTGCTTCCCCACTCTGTAGCAAGACCGTCACTGTTATTTTTAAGAATATTACTAAACTAAAAAGGAATAAGAATTTTTGGAGAATAAAGACAAGACCGGTCGTGGATGGAGATGAAGAAAGGCCCTGACTTTTCACGAGCGAAGAAGGAGATAGGAGTGGAGCTGGCCGCACCAGTGTTGTCGCCGGACACCATGCTCGTCAGCAGTGATTTCAGGAGGAGATGTGTGATGGCTGGCTTCTCTGTTGATTAGAGGGTCATAAAAGAAAAGAAGATGAAGCGTTAGAGGTTTATTTTGGAGAAGACGAGCAAGCGGTGTAAAGAGGGAAAATGAAAAAATATTAGCGAGGTGTAAAGAGGAAAAATGAAAACATATTTTCACTTGAAAAGTTTTTTAATAAAAAAAATAATTTATTTGCGATTTTAATGAAACCGCGGAAATTTCTAGAGGTTTTTAAAATAAACCTTCGAGAATTTCAGAGGTTTCTGAAACCTCAGGTAATAAACCCCTCCTATAAAATATTGTTTTTGTAGTGTATAACTTTTCTATTTAATTAAGATAGTTTTTAAAAAATTGAATTAAACTAAACGGGGGTAACACTTCCCTTCTAATAATAATAAGTTATTGAATGTGTATTTTGCTAAATTTTTAGTTAGGTTAAATATGTTTTTATTCCCTTTTTCTGAAACATGATGATCATTTTTCCTGTGCTCCAGCGCCAAACTCTTTTGCTCCAACGGGTTCCTGTGCTCCCTACCCTGCCAGTAGTACATAAAAGAGAGACAATCTCCAAGATTATCATCGTAGAATTCCTTATTGATATTCTCCTTTATCAGAAAACCAAATCAATTAGTATTAATTATCCCATTAAGAAACATAATTGTTTATGGTTTTTCTAATTCGAAAAATCCTAAATTTGCAAATTGGGAACCCTAATTAATCCTTCATAATCAAGAACGGAAAAATCTCAAATCTGAAACCTTATTGTTAATGAACCCTAAATTGGGGAAAATCCCCAATTTTCGTCTTCCAATCTATCTTTTGCATCCTTTTCTTCTCTTTTCTGTTTCTGCGTCGTGCCATAGAGGAACAACTTTATCTCCCTTCACGGTGTGGTCTAGTTCATTGTCAGCAAACAACAGAGGAGTTCACTATGATGGCTCACGCAGAGCATAGGTGATATGTGGTGTTTTTTTTTGCTCTGGTTTTCTGCAGGTGGAGGACTGGCCTCACGGTATGGTTTGACTTCTTCGACCTGGTTCGTCGCCGGCGAAGGACGAAGCTTCTAGTTTCTTCCTTCAGCGGCGGTCTTTGTTCTCTGTTGGGATTAGACTCGTGGCGCGTCCTTCTTCCTCATCCCTCGATCTGCCTCAAACAACTACTTTGTTGGTGTGGATTTTGCATAAGCAACGGGTGGTGGAGGGATGCACCTTGGAGAGTGGAGGACGTTTGGTTGGAGACGTCAGTTTCAAAACCCGAGATTTGATTCAATTTCATATTTTTAATTTCAAAATTTAACACTGTTACTTTTCGAGGACTAAAAATTATAATTTCTTAAAGGTAAAGGATCAAAGTGAAGCAAACTTTGAAAAGGGACAAAACCCAAAAACCCTTGATAGTTGAGGAACTAAAAACAAATTTAACTTTTTTTAATTTATAGGCAATTTTTTTAGAAATAGTTTATAACAAATGTAGTGATACTTTATAGTAAAAGTATTTAAATTGTATAACAATTTAAAAAAAAATACAAAAGAAAATAATAAATATATGCAATTAAAAAAAATAACATAAAATTTTAAAGGGTTAAATATGTTTTTGGACCCTTAGTTAAAATTGGAAATAATCTCTTTTTAAAATGTTGATCCAACTTAGTTTCTTAACTTTAAAAATGTGTAAATTTAGTCTTTTTATCTAAATTTTATTAGATTTATTTGATATTTCAAATGCATTTTATGATAACATTTGAGTTGTTTACACCGTTTGACACATTTTTGTTTTAATGTTAACTAAGAAACACGTTTGAAACATCAAATAAACTTAACAAAATTTGATTAAAATGACTAATCCATACAATTCTAAAAATATGTGATTAAATTGGTCCAAAGTTTCGAAAATGATTTAATTCCAAGTTCTACTTAAAGTTAAAAGACGAAAAACATATTTAACTCAATTTCAAATCTTATATTCTTATTTTTATTCTATGTTCTTATAAGTAATAAACTATTTCTTACCATTTTTTTCAATTTATATTTTTGTATTATATATATATATATATATATATATATATATATATATATAATTATAATAATTTTCGTAATTTAAGTCAAAATCATCTAATATTAATTAAAAAATATCTTTTTTTACTTTAAGATGTTAAATATATATTTAGTGTTTTTAATGTCCACATTTTTAATAAATTGATTTGTCTTTGTAAATGTGACAAATAATATTATCAGTTATGTCATGACATAAATACACATGTTAGCATATAACATTATAATAAATCCTTAACAACAATAATAATAAATTCAATTTCACGTAATTTAAGAGTAAATCTATATTTAACTCTTAAAAAATTAAAATAACTTTTCTAAATGAAATGATTCGCACGATAACTGATAATAGGTAGTCTATAATTAATATTGTGACGTGAAAATTAAGAGAAGCGACGCATGCAAGCTGACGTAAAAGGGTACACTCTTCTTTTCATAAAGTCATCTGTGGTCCCAATGGTTCCTGTTTCCTAATCAGAACCAAACAACCTTATCCTCTGAACATTCAGAATTTAAATAAGAGAGAATCCGATTATGTATGTAAATCGCATTGTAATATATACATATATAAAATGTTTATAATTTATTTATTCATTATGAATATTTTTATTAATATAGGTTTTGTATTATAATAAAATGAAAAATTAAAATAATTTAATTTCGATATTTTGAGAAAATATTTTAATTTTTATTTTAAATATACTTTTTAATAAGATTTTTTAATTTAAAATTTATGTTAGTCCTTATTTGCATTTCTAAAAATAATTAATCATATTAAATTATTTTATAATTTTTATTTTAACACGTTAATCAAATCACTTTAAAAAATTAACTCAAATTCATTATAATCTCTCAATTCAAAGAATTTCACTTTCCAATTTCTTTCTTATGTTCTGTTATTATCCACCCCCACCTGAAACATAAAAGTTATGAAAAACAAGTATAACATAAGTGCGTTTAAAAATTTGTGGCATAAGTTGAAATTTGTAGAAGGCAAAAGTATATAATAAATTGAAATCTGAAATTGTACATTATACCAAAGTCGTGGCTGGTCGGAGGAGGAGGGACTCTCACTCTAGAGTTTCGCTCTCTCTCAAGCTTTTTTTTTTCTCTACCAATATCTCAAACAAAATGTGAAAACTGAAAATAAACCCCGAAATTTCAAATCTATCTGCGAACTCTCTTTCAATATCATTAAAAACTCTCAAGTCATTTACCATATAGACCACTAACATTTTGACACCTGTCAGAATGTTCTCAATTGCTAAAGTATCATTTCCCTAAAATAATGGACGACACTGGCAAAGCACGATGGATGATTGGCCCACATAAAGCATCATGATAACAACTCCTGAACATTGTTATCTTTCTGAAATGTCACTCATAAATTAATGGTTTTCACCAAACACAGCAATCTGGTTTTGAAACCGTGAAGAATGTAAAGATAAACAGTGGTGTCTCTCTTTCCTTAAACGCATCTTAGTTCGGTCTGTTCGAAAACTGATTCAGGTAAAATCTCATATTCTTTTCTCTAATTCTTGCTTAATACATCTCTATCTTCTGATTGTTTTAGGGTTCATCACTCCCCTTCCCCCTTTCTGAAACCCTAATTTACTCGGAACTGCTTCTTCCATTACACCTTACCATATCGATTCCTCTTTTGTATGCAGAAACTAATTCTATACTAAGTCTTTCTATTACGCCACTTCTCAGGTATCTTTTCTTCTCATTCAATCTATAACATTTTAATGTAGTTTATGTTTTAAAGGGATAGAGTGGTTTATCTTAGATTTTAGTGTACACTGGTTTTCAACTTTAACCAGTATAAGGGAAGATTGCAGAGACTTGATATCTATGGAATAACTGAATGATTACCGATAGGTTTTGCTTTTGAGGTTTGTACAGCGAAGACTTCTGGTTCTGTTGGGTCAACGTTCAAAAACTTTGAAGGAAAAAGATGATGATCACTTGACTCGCACTTATATTATTATTGGCAGAATATTATGTTAATACTTTCAAAATATTTTCTCCTATTTAAAAGAAGAAAAACTTGCATACGTAATATAAAATAATATCTTCATACTGTTTCTAAAAGATAAAATAAATTGAGAAAACTTTAAAAAAATTGTAGGAGTACAATTATATATTATATGGTGTTTCAGGTGTGGATTTACTGGGTGGCATCAGGTAAGTAACTAATATTTTAACTAAAATTAATTATTTTCTTAAATGGCACAGTGATTAAAAAAAGTATGTTCGTGTCGTATGTTTTTTAGTTATTTGAAGGATTATTATAAAAATAAAAAATGATTATTATAAATAAATAAAACAAAGTAAACTGTTAAGCAGTAATTGTTTTAAAATTGAGGAGTTATTTATTAATTTAATGATAGAAAGAGAGAAGCGCGATGATGACTCCTCACCAACACCTCTCGAATATCTCCATTTCAAGCTCCTTTCTACCGATTCTTCTACTTTCACATGTTATTTATTTGCGGACCCTGCTAGTAAAAGTAAAACTAAAAGTGTTAATCATTTCCCAAAACCCATTGACAAGTCAAATAAGTACTTATTTTATTATTTATTTAAGTTAATATTTATTAAATCATGCTAATGTTATAAACTTGGGTATTTTTTCCTAGTGAATAAAAGTTATAAATTATTTTTAATTAAAAAAATTATATTTAAAGACAATAAATCTCTTAATTTATGGTTTTCTCTCTTATTCTTTTTATATAAATTTTTTATCAGACCTACTATTTTTATCCACATTTATTTTTTTCACTCATACACATTTCTTTTGTTTATAAATATCTATTTCATTCTTTCATCAACAATCATCTTCTTGTTTAAATTTATCCATTTCATTTACTCTTATCTCATTTATTTACACTCATTTATTTATTTTTTATATATTACTCTTGTTGAAGATGACAAGAATGAAAAATTTTGTTAATTAACATATATGCTGTATTTAATAGAGATTCTAATTCACGTATTAATTATAATTTTTTATTTATAACAAAGACTAATTTAAATATTAATAATTTTAATTTATAAATTGGTATTTAAATTTATCATTATTTTTTTTTGTCTAAAATTGATTCCTATTTAATAATTTGGTTGTAATAAGAAAATCTTATTTAGAAAGTGAAAATAAAAAACAAGAAATAAATAGTTATATTTTTGTTTCTCTTTTCATTTGAGAAAATGAAGTTAACTTTTTTCCTTACTTTTTGTTCTTCCTTTCCGAAACTGATATATCTTGAAGAAGACACCCTATAATGCTTCCTCATACGTATAAAGATTTGATTTTTTTTTTACAGAAACATGGACACCGTACATGCGAACCCAGCAGCGTCATCACCACAAACACACATAGTTCAGATTCCTTCAGCTGATCAACTTCCACACCCTTCTCGTCACATACTTGAAGATAGAAGTACTCACTCTTCCTCCTATATTTCTGTTCTTGTATAATATATATTAAATAATACGAAGGGAGTATGAAAGAGGGTGATTGTCAAATGCAAAATCAATAATGCAGATGAACATACAACCTTTTTATATATGTAAATAAACTAATGGTTTCTTCAACTGAAGAAAATTTGGCATTGCAATTTCTTCAGGGGAATACTTTCAGAAATGTGTACCCCTTTATAAGCTAGCACTGAGAGGTGATTGGAATGAAGCCAAGCGCATGATAGATGAAGATACTAGTCTCTTAAACGCTGCCATAACAAAGGAATGGGGTACACTGCTTCATGTTGTGGCAGGAACAAACCATGTTCACTTTGTGAATCAATTGCTTAAATTACTTAACCCACTTGATCTGGAACTGCGAAATTTCAATGGAAACACAGCCTTTTGCTATGCTGCTGCATCTGGAAACATGGAAATTGCTGCTACCATGATCAAGAAGAATGAAGGCCTACCCAAAATCAGGGGCGGAGCAGAAGCCACTCCTCTTTACATGGCTGTCTTGCAGGGAAAAGGTGAAATGGCAAGGCATCTCTACCCTCTCAGTACCAACATTTTACAGGAAGATGACTTCACCATGCTGTTCTTCCTCTGCATAAAAACTGAATTATATGGTGAGTTCATTTTCCTTAGTTCTTCCTTCATTCATCAAATGGTTTCTCAAGTGAAATGAGATTTTGTAGACTGAGAAAAAACCCTTTGATACTGTAACTTCAAACCTTTGAGTCTTCGTTCTTATATGAACTCCAGTTTTTCAAAGTTTTCACAGACACTTTGATCCACTTACCATAGCTAGCAAATTTGGAAAATTTTGCAGATATTGCTTTGCAAATTGTACAAAAACACTCAAGGCTGGCATTGGAGAGGGATGAGAACAACGACACAGGCTTGCATCTCTTGGCTCGAAAGACTTTTGGTTTTAGTGTTCTTGGTCAATGGTATCTTCCAAACCAGATCTTGAACTCTAGTAAGTTCTTACAATCACTGTTCACCTACTTCGAAAACTAGAATATTTGGTTCATTTTCATTTTTGTTTTCGTTTTCTCATATCTAAAACAGTTTTCAAATTAGAATTATCAATCAAGATTTCTTTCAACGTATTTTCAAAAACTTATATTCAAAATTAATGACTAAAACTACTTTTAAAAACTATCTTAAACGCATGTTTTAATCATTATAATGACAGTCATTACGAGAAACAGGCATGAAGGCAACTCCATTCGTCCAACTTGTTGAGTGTCTTTGGAGAATGCTTTTCGACCAAGATTACGAGGAAACAGAGTTGAGGACTTTCATAAGTCATCCATCACAAATAACATTTGACGCTGCACAAGTTGGAAATTTTGAATTTTTAGATACACTTATGAGGTCTTACCCTGATTTATTATGGGAAGTGGATCAAAAAAACCGAACCATAATTCACATTGCTGTGCTTCACCGCCATTCAACAATCTATAGTCTAATACACGGACTTGGCTCCATCAAAGATTTCATAGCAACTTTTGAGGACGACGAAGGAAACAACATCTTGCATTATGCTGCTATGTTGTCACCTCCGGACAAACTCAGCTCAATTTCTGGAGCAGCTCTTCAAATGACACATGAATTATTATGGTTCCAGGTAAAACGAAAAAAACACTATTATATATCTGTCATACAACTCTCACAATAGTTGTGTCTGTCATACAATCATGATCTACTTTCAGGACTGAAAACACTACTGTATATCATATAGTACGACATTATATTAGTAAAAAATAACATTATACTTTGATATGGCAGGAGGTGAAGAAAATAATGCTGCTGTTAAATATAGAGAAGAAAAATGGTGAAGGAAAAACTCCTCGTGAAATATTTGCTGGGAAGCATAAAGAACTATTGACAAAGGCAGAATCATGGACAAAGAGCACAGCCGTTAATTGCATGCTTGTATCTGCACTCATAACCACAGGAGTTTTCACTGCTACATTTTTGGTACCTGGTGGCAACAATAAAAAGACAGCAAATCCCAACTATTTGCAGGAACAAGCATTCCTCGTATTTTCGTTATCAGTTGCATGTGCACTGATATCAGCATCAGCCTCCATACTGATGTTCCTGTCCATCCTCGTTTCAAGTTATGCAGAGGATGAATGTTTCAATTCCCTCCCTTACAAGTTACTCTTTGGTATGGCCACACAGATCATCTCCATCACAACCATGATGATATCGTTCAGTGCTGCTTTTTACATAACATTTTCTCATGGTTTAACGCGGGTTCCGTTTTCTATTTTCGTGCTCTCGTTTCTGCCAATACCCTTGTTCAAACCGCTATGGTCAGATATTATTTATTCTTCTTATCTTTGTATGTCTCTATTTTGGTATAGAAAATAAATCCTTGGCTAGCTGAGGACTTTAGTCCAGAGATAAAGTCAAATTATAATATATAAATGAGGTGTAAATTTTATTTTTTAAGTCAATTTTATGGGATTGAGTTTTAATTTACCTTCTTAATATGATATTAAGTTAGGCTTAAAACCCACGTTTAAGTTGTCTTACCTTGTTGTCTTACCTTGTTGTCGTGAATTATTTTTTAAACAACAATTGATATTATAAAGCTGAGGATTTCAAACCTCTGTATAATTCTTTTAAAAAATAAATTTATTTTTTATAGTTTTTTTAATAAATTTTGAGTAGGGCGATCAAGAACCGGTGAAGGTAGTTTAGAATACAGGGAAGCTTATCCTTTTATGTATCTTACTTTTGATTAATTCTGTTGAATATGATCTATGGGAAATATTTAGGAGAAAAATATTTATTCCAATAGTTTTAGATGTGTCTGGTAGAAAATTTCTACCTCAGTCAACTCTTCCGTTTCTAAATATGTTTTCGCTTATCTGTTTTCAATTTTTTCAAATGATTGTTATCCACATATATTTCCACACTTTTTTCTTTGCTCCCTAGTTCTAGAATAGTGAAATGTTGAAAACTTTGATAAGTCGTGTTGTGTACTATAATGCCTTAATTCATAAATTACAAATATTCCATATACAGCCCATAACCTTATAACTAAAGAACATATGTTAATAGTTTATCACTTAATCCACAGATAAATTCATCCTCATAATCGAGATAGAAAAATATATAAAGTAAAGGTCCGTGTGTTATAAATTATGTACAAACATTTTGTTCGATCTAACTGTTAATAAAATAGAAAATAGAGTTTTATTGTGATAATACAAAACGATAAAAACAAGTGATATGTATATTTTTTCAAAATTGTGAAAGTTATTTATTTTATTACAGATCTCTAATTATTCATTACAATGATCAGATTGAGTAAATATGTCTTATAGACTATGTGTAAAAATCTCAGTTTCATCCATCGGTTAAAAATAAAAATAAGATAAGATTTTACCAAGATGATACATTCAATATTTAAGATTTCATTCCACTAAATCATAAGAATTAGTCAAAACAAGTTTTACGATTGTAGTTTTTATTAAAATAACTCGTAACTTCAAATAATTGAAATATTGTACGATATAAATAAATGAGATCAAACTATATAGCAAGAATTTTACAACGTATATCCAATAAACCTAAAAACGTAATGAGTGTGAAAAAGTTGAAGCTTAATGAAAAACAGAGTGAACCCATTTGTCATTCACTTTAGGGACATGCCAAGGTGGATACAACGTCATCTTCACTTCACTTTAGGGACATGCGAAGGTTGAAACTTCCCTCAATTACAGATTCTCCTATGTTCCTCTCTCGTGGAAGCAACCTCTTCAAATTATTTCACATTTTACTTTATGTTCTGCTACATATTTTAGTCTCAACAGTATATTCATTTTTTAAATTTTATTTTATTATTTTCGATATTTTAATTTGATTTAATGTAGTGATTACATATTATTTTCGATATATTAATGAGAATGATATTATATATGAACAGTAAATACTACATATTACTATAATAACACTATTATTATAAATTTAACATAATATATTAACTCCTTTTTTTGTACAAAAGAAACATTAAAGTAAAAATAAAATTATTGATATAGTTAGCTAAAATTTTATTCTTTATAGATATACCTATTACCATGAAAGAGATGAGGATAAGTAAAAATATATATACTCATTGAATATAAGATGGAAATGGAGATTGCTTTAAAGATATAATGAGATAATCAAACAGGTCTCAGCCTCTTGCTTTAAACATATATCTAGTCTCCATTAAATTTAAATTTTGACCACGTAGAATAGTTATTTCCTTTAACAACCTAACTTCCATTACCACATTTCATTAGCGTTTATGTTTTCCATAATATTTTATATATAAATAAGAAATAATAACAAACTAACTGAAAGATAAAAGATATAATATTTCTAACAATATAAATATATATATATATATATATATATATATATTAATATTCAAGAAATAAAAGTACAAACATTTTAATATTTTAATATTTAACATTATATTTCTTTTGTAGTGAGTTTTACTATTTTATAAAAGTTAATTAATTAATATGAACATAATAAGAAAGCAAGTACGATACAAATACATATATAGTCAATGAAGATGGAAGTAAATTTTTATACTCATTAAATATAGAAGTGAAAATGAAGATATATAGACGAACTTTTAATTAAAAATGAGAATGAAATAATGAAATTTATTTCCTTAATCCGGTTCTTTTCCTATGTGGAAGGAAACGCCAAAAAAAGAAGAGATAAATAAAGTGATAATTGAGACTCTTTAAATAAAAGATAAGAGATTGAAAGCTAAAGAGAGTTAAAAAATGCAAGTGATTTGATTGATCGTAGAATAAAAAATATGTTAATGGTAAGATTTAGAAAATGATCAAAGTGGCTCTGAGAAAATTAGGTGTGATGGGACAACTGAGGAAAGTGTCCATTATCACGCTGACTTTTTCTTTGTATATGTGGCCTTATTCATCTCCTACCTCATAATTTCCTTTGTCCCTTTCTTATTATTTACAATTAAAGGTGAGAAGTTGAGTGAACTAATGAGAAAAGCTTAAAAAAGAAAGTTATATTTCAAGATAGGGACGTTGAAAAAGAAATGTTGAGGTTATTAAAAAGATAATGAAGATTGATTTTGTAACTTTTCTAAAAACAAGTTTGGGGTTTAGAGCTACATTTGATGAGTATTCAGGATTTAGCACTAACTTTAAATATTACTGTACAAAAATTTGATGAATATTCAGGATTTAGCACTAACTCAAATATTTCTATACAAAGATTTGATGGTAATGAAGATCTTAAAATATGAAAGGAAGATTCAGTAGGTTATTGAGCCAAAGGAGTTAGAGAATCATATTAATTAACTCTTTCAATGAGACACTTGTAGACAAAGGGAGGTTGCAAATTTGATCTTTATCCGCAAGCTTGTGGATATTATTTTGACTTCAAAACATGGAGACTCGAGAACAGGAGGTAAATATAGTGAATGTTTATGGTGGACAAATTTAAAAAGCTGTGTGAACGTTTTTCATTGTAATGCAGAAAAACTTTTTACTTATGAAGAATGTGAAAATAGTTTTTGAGGTTGTTTTTCCTATAACTGATGTAAAGTTGTTGATGTTTTTGTTTTTCTGTGGGTTTTCGTTTAGCAATGAAAATCTTGGTTATAACTCTTGTGTAGATAGGTTATAATAGTCTAATCATTTCTTACAATGACTTTTTACTGTGATACCCAAAATTTCAGTGCTACAAATACGTATATTTACTTTTAATTACTATTAACATACGAAAACAAAACTCTTCATTTATCAAATTTATCTAAATTTCACATTTTAGTGCTACAAATACATATATTTTATTTTTAATCACAATTCACATAAAAATAAAATAAAACTCATCATTTATTAAACTTATTTAAATTTCACATATGACATAAACCACTCTATTTACATGTCTATTTGACACACATATACATTCATTTAATGTGTACGAACAATTCGTCTAATACATCTCTTATCAGAGAATGGATAGAATTGTCTAATATGTATTAATAGACTTGTTTAATTAGTATGTGGATAGACTCACCTAATGCGTATTCTTATACTCATCTAATTAATGCATGAAATTACTTGTTTAATTAGTGCATAGATATACTCTTTTAATATATATTGCTTATAAACTCATCTAATTAGTGTATAAACAGATTTGTTTAATGTATATTGCAAGATTTATTTAATCAATGAATGAACATAATCATCTAATTTATGTATAAAAAAGTTTGTCTAATGTATATTGTTAGACTTGTCTAATCAATATATGAATGACTTGTCTAATGTGTATTGTTAGACTGGTTTGATCAATTCATCTACAACTCGTCTAATCAAAATATTCTTAAACTCCTCTAATCAAGATATAGAATTACTCTTCTAATATATTTTTGTTATACTATTCTAACAAATATATTTACATACTCGTTTAATGTGCATTATTTTATTCGTATAATATTTTTTGCAATACTTGTTTGATAAGTATAGAAAAATAAAACAAATTGATAAAAGAAATAAAATAACTTTCATGTATGTGACATAAAAATGAATATAAATAAAAAATGAAAAATGTCAAATGACTAAAAAAACTAATTTTTAAAACACTTGTTAACAAAATATTTTTTTTAAATAAAAATTTTAGTATATTCTTTTTTTATATTATATAATTAATTTTTATTGAGTAATGTAAATATTGTGAAGTTTGATATTTTCCCACATATCTATGCTATTGAAAGATATTTTAAACTTGTAACGACAGGGCTTTCGGTTCTTGTATAAGTTTATTTATTTTTCTTTATAACTGCAAAAAAATATGTATTTCTATACAGCTAATGTTCGAGACAAAAGCTAAATTCAAGTACGTGTTTGGTTTCCTGAGGAAAATTAAAATTGTATTTCCTTATGGACGGCTAAAAACAAAACATTCTTTAAAATAGAAAGTCATCACATTCATAAAAATAAGAACATGTTTAAGTGGAAAATATTAAACTAAATTCCTGACTACTTTAACCTAATAAAGAAACAAACAAAATATTAAAGATTCCCCTTCAAAAACTTGCACCAAGCATATTCTGTTTCAAAAAGTCCTTGTGAGAAGGTGGCATGAGAGAGCAAGAGCACGCTCACTTCACTCGTAGACTCCAAATAGACTTGAAGTTGGAAGGATTGAGTATTTTTAACTTAAAATAGTGTTTAAACTTATACAGGGAATCTTAAAACATTATATTAATTAAGAATGAAAAAAAAAATTCGTATTCATGGATATTTGCGTTTAAAATTTACATAAAATAGTTGGTATTTGTAAATATTTATTGTTTGCTGATAATATATATTTTAATATTCATTTATAAATGAAATATTATATTTTTTGTATTAAAAA